TGCAGGGTCTGGCCATGGCAGGCCCTCAGCTCCCATGCTCAGGGATGCCCAACGCCAAGGCCATCATGCAGCAACGCGCTTCCAGCACTGCCTGGCTGTGAGCACTTGCAGGTCCCCAGGAAGACACCTGGCCCCTCGGCAGCGGGTGGCTCAAAGGCAGGGCTGATCCCAGGAGGAAGAGGCCACGGGCTCACTAAGAGTCCAGGTTTGCACCCTGCAGCTCCTGCCAACCTCCCTTCCACCAGGCACTGCACTCTGCAGCTCTAAACATGCCTCACCTACTCTGAGGCCACTAATTAAAACATAACGATGCAGAGTTGTTAGGAAGCCTGAAATAAACTTTAAAAAAAGAGAGCAGCCTTGGGGCAAACCCTCTCTCCAGGGCCTGACCCTGGAAACAGAACTGCGAGGCCAGAGCTGAGCCCGCCGGGAGTCTCGTCCTGCTTTTCCAGGGGCTACGCGCAGGGCCTGGCTCAGCCTGGCCACCAGCACAGGCCATGAGAAACTTGCTTAAAGCGCTGGGGCTCACAGTTTTGGCCACCTTGCAAAGGTCCGCTGCAGTGATCCCTGCCAGGCTGTTCCTGCAACCCCTGCTCCCCCAGGGCAGCCAAGGGACACGTGGGTCCCGGCGTTGCAGGATGCATTTAGAGCTTCAGCTAATGCCTCCTCCCTTCGCTGCCCGGGCTCTGGTGCGTAGTGGCGGACTGAAGGCAGGTAGCCCTTGCGGAAACGGGCCAGCCAAAGAGCCTCTCTCCCCGGCTGCCCCCGGCCTCTGATCTCGCCTTCTCCGGCTGCGTCGTCACGCCCCAGCTCAGCAGAACGGGCGGCCGGTCCTTACCGTTGTCACACCGCCAGTTGATGTTTATGCAGCGCCCGTTGTTGCAGGTGAACTGCGTCAAGGGGAAGCAGGTCGGGTAGGCTGCGGAGGAGGCAGAGGCAGGAGCAGCGCTGGGAGACCCCCTTCTTCCCACCTAACCCAGCCAGCACCTCCCGCCGCGGCCGGTGCTCCCGGCGCTCTCCCCTGGCCCCAGCTCACCGCACGAGGCAGACTCATCAGAGCGGTCCCCACAGTCATCGTCCAGGTCACATGTCCAGGAGATGGGGATGCAGCGCCCGCTGGCGCAGGAGAACTGGTTGGGGGAGCAGGTCCGGGCTGGACCGGGGGAGACAGAAAGAGCTTTAATAACTGGTCATGCCTCGGTTTGCCAAGGGAAAGGTGGAACAAACCCCACGGCAGAGGTGCAGAAGCCAAACTCGCTGCAGCACAGGCAGCTAGCACCTGGCATGCAGAGACACCCGCGTGACGCCCCCAAAACCCCAGCCGCAAATTGGCAGCAGAGGCAGGGAACAGCCAAGGCTGCAGCTCAGCTCAGTGGAGTGAGCCCCCCCCCCGCTCCCCGAGGGCCTGGAAGGCTCCTCACCAGAGCACGTGGAGTTGGACTCGTCCTCGTTGTTCCCACAGTCATTGTCCCCATCGCAGAGCCAGCGATTGGGGATGCACCGGTTGTTCTTGCACTTGAAGCGGTCCGAAGGGCAGGTGTGCTGGTCTGCGAGGGAGACATTTGCTCAGGACCTTCCTTTCTCCAACCCCCACCCCCCATTCCTCCTGGCGGAGAGAAAAACCGAGGCAAAGAAGGGCAGAGAGTCACACATCAGAGCGGGGACCCAGGTTCCTAATCACCATTTTCCTTCCTCCTCCCCCACTGCAATCAGGTGAACCTGCTCCCCTCCCAGAGCAGGGCAGGAGAGGCAGGAGCCCCGGCTGCCGGAGCCCCCCCCAGCCACCGGCCCCACATCTGGAGGAAGCTGCACTTCTCAGCTGTGCCGGATCCCGACACCCCAGGAGCACGCAGACTGCTATCCCCCCCGTGCAGGGGGCTGCTACGCACGGCAGAGCTCGGGGGCCTCATCGCTGTTGTCCAGGCAGTCGTTGTCCCCATCGCACTTCCAGCGTTCCTGGATGCAGCGGTTGTTCTTACAGGCGAACTCCCCAGGCTGGCACTGCGGAGGGGGGATGTAGGACGGGTTGGCTGGCAAAGGAAAAGCAAGAGGTGGGGATGGTTTTAACCAAGCGGCTGGTGCAGGGATGGAGGGCAGCACGAGGACAGTCCTGCATCCCCAGGTGGGCAGGTGCCTCCACGAGTGCCCAGCAGACCTGAGATACTTGTAGCTCGCATGGAGATACCCAATGCCCACGTGCACTGGCTCCCAGCAACAAAACGACGACACCCAGCGCGGAGCAGGTGATGTGACTTGTCCGCAGTCTCCCAGCAGAGTAGGGTGGACCCGCCTCCCCCAAGCCCGGAGCCAGCCCATCCTCACCCCCACCACTGCCAGCAGCCTACCCTGGCAGGTGACGGAGTCCGGTCCCAGGATCTGGTCCTCAGCACAGGCACACTGCCGGCCCCGAGGGGTGGCCAGGCACAAGCTGCTGCAGCCCCCGTTGTTCACGCGGCACTTGTTGGAACCCACTGCAGAGGCAAGGCAGAAGTGAGCGGCTCCCTGGCCAGGAGAGTAGGAGACATCACTGTTCATGTAGCTCTGCTGACCCCCATGGGGTCTGCTGGGTGTCCTCGGCCCCCCACAATTCCCTCCGTGGGCTCAACAGGAACCCAGCTGGAGATCCCAGTTCAGCAGCATGCAAGGCACTGGGGACTCCTCACAGGGTGGGAGACCAGCTGAACCAGCCACTGACGCCGGAGAGAGGGGGAGAAAGGGAAAAGGGTGGGAGAGCATGGGATGACTTGATAGCAGGGTTTATGGAGAGAGAAAAACACCGTGCATGGGGATGAGTTGGGGGGGTAGGAGATGGACAGACAGCCGCAGTGCAAGACCGCGGAGGCCCCCCGACCTTGCTGCTGCTGGGCATCATACATCCGGATCTCGAAGATGGGCGGGCGCTCATTCCGCAGCAGGCTCACCACCTTGGAGGCCTGGTCCAGGCGGTAGATGCTGCCGCTGCGGTACTCGGTCCAGAAGAGGAAGCTGCTGTAGTGACACAGCCCAAAGGCATGATTCAGCTCCGGTCCCTCGTACACAATCTGCGGGGTGCAGAGAGGCTTGTCGTTACTCAGGGTGGGTGCCGGGGAGCACCACGCAGGGGCATGGAGGAGGGAACAGGCTGCAGGGGAGCGTGGCTGAACGCAAGCCAGCCGCCCGCCCCGCAGACCTGCGGGACCACAGCCAGCCGAGGCGAGGCACAAGACACCCTGCCAGCGGGCGGGCTGGCTGCCCACGTCCCCCCTGGGGTGCTGGCGAGCAGGAGCAGGTGGGGCCTCCACTAGCCTTCCGCTCGGTGCCGTTCAGGTAGACCATTTCGATGCGGTCATAGAAAGCATCCACCCAGTAGAGGATCTTGGCTGGGATGTCCAGGCTCAGCCCGTTGGGCCACAGGACAGTCTTGGAGGTGATGAAGACGTTGCGGTTGGATCCATCCATCCAGGCTCTCTCAATCTTGCCTCTCTTGCTGTCCTTGGGGTCCTCCTCCCAGTCCGTCCAGTACATCCACCTGCGAGAGATGCTAAGCTGTTAGAGGGGCAGGAGATCTGGGCCCTGAGCCCACTCCACCACTGATCTGAAGAGTGACTGGGCTCTGCCTCCCTTTCCCTCGCAACCAGATGTTTACTGTGAACTCACGGAAGAGCCTGGGAGTCCCACCATGCTCTGCACACAGCTGAGCGGGCCCCTAGCCCCACGCAACGGCCAGATATCCCTCCCAGCTGTGCCAGTGCTGCTGCTACAAGGCATTTTGAGAGTAAACTCCCCCATCATCCAGCATCTAACAAGAGGCAAAGCAAAAACCTCCCACAAGCCCCAGAAATCCCTCTCCTGAGCCAGGGATGCCCTTCCAGCCGAGGAAAGGGGAGCTGCAGCTGCGTGGACCTGGGTACGGGACCTCAGCACCCTGTAGTCGTGGCACCCTTCGCCCCAGCTCAAGTGCAGGCAGCTGTGGCTAGGGAGAGGGGCTGGAAGCACATCTTTGGATGTCGGACAGCTGAGGACTCCCTTCCCTCTGCTTCCCAGCAGCAGGTAAAGTGAGAAAGGACAGGACTCGCTGCGTTTGCGTCCCCCGTCAGGCCTGGCTGAGCCACTTCCGGGCATGGGACATCCTGTCCCAGCACCCAGGAGACCCAGGCTGGGCAAGAGCCAGCACGAGAATGGGCGGGAGACACATATGAAAAGGGGGGTGGATGGAGCAGCTGGAGGAACTCATCTCTCTCCCTTTCACCCAAAGGAGCCTCCTGGCCAAGACGGCGGCTGAGGCTCCTCGCGAGCCCTGCCCTGCCTCGTGCCACCCACCACACACACACCCATTCAGGGGATCCACCACGATTGCTCTGGGGTGGGTCATCTTCCCCTCTATCAGTGTCTTCCGCGTCTGGGCGGCCTTCTCCAGCCGAGCCACACTGATGGTCTTCTTCGGGCCATCATCAGTCCAGTACAGGTTGTTCCCCATCCAGTCCACAGCAATCCCTTCCACATTGTGGATGCCTTTGGGGAAAAGCAAGAGTGTGCATTAATCAACAGAGCCGGTGTGGCAGAGGGAAGAGAGAAGTGGAAATGACAGCCCCATATGACTCGCAGTGCACGTAGCACGACCTGATCTCAACCAGCCCTGACAGGGAACAACACGTCCCCAAGCCCACGTGTGCGCAGCTCCCCCAGAGGTGCTGGAGCCCCTGGTCTGAAGCAAGCAGAACTTGGGAGCATCCTTGGCTGCTTTGCCCAGAGGCAATGCAAACGCCCTCGGTAGATGGTCTTGAGAGATCAGCCACCCTGCAGAGCCCAAGTGACCTGGATTGAGGAGCCTCCACCCTTTTCTCTTGTTCTCATCCAAACAGGTGAGAGTGGGCCAGTTTGTGGACATGTCTGGGGCTGCTACAAGCTACAGCCCAGGAGTCCTTAACCCACTGCTGCTGGGGAACGCGTGCTGTGCTCGTCTCTTAATGGCAGTCTGCAGACAGATCCAACTAACAGCTTCCAACCTTAGCTTTAATGATCAAATATGCAAGGGAGAGAACAGACTGCTGCTGTTACACAATGAAACACACTGATAGCAACTGCTCCTGGCTCCCAGGGCCTGACCAGGCTGACGAGGAACCAGCCCGGGCCCTCAGCCACATACCATCTTTCAGGATGGTCTCTCGCTCCGTGCCATCGATCTTCTGGCGCCCAATGAGGTAGCTGGTGGTGTCGGCAAAGTAGATAAAGCCGGTCTCAGCGTGGAAGTCCAGCGCTCGGGGGTTCATGAGGTTCTCAATGGGGATCATGTGCTCATCAGGCACCTTGGCACCCATGTCCATCCCGCGGATGATGCCGGGACGGCCCTTCCCATACACCAGGAACAACTCATGCTCTGGCTCTGCAGAGAGAAGAGGAGAGCCATCACCACCAGCTGGGTCAGGGCAGCGCAGGGTCCATCATGGACCTACGCCTGCATGGAGGGTGGGCAGCGCCTTGCGCTCACCACCCCACGTGCTTTTCACTGTGACAGAAGGGACAGGAGGAAGGAGCAACCTGTCCCCCATGTGCCCCGCATCTGCACAGACTGCAGATCCCAGCAGGCAGCCACTGCTTCAGGCAGGAGGGAAAGGGCTGTTTGCAACCAGCAGGGAAGGAATTAAAAAGCCCTGCCTGCCCTGGACCCGGAGCGCTCCCAATCCTTTGGCACTTGTGGAACGCCCCAGAAGCAGGGCGCTCCCCAGCCCACCCTGCTCACACTCCCTCCCTCCCCCCCAGCTGCAACAGCCACTGACCCCTCCTGCTCCCCCTGTGGCGCTCAGGTGAGGATGGGACTCACTTTTGCAGGACTTCCCGTCACTGCCCAGGCTGAATCCAGACCTGCAGCGGCAGGTACGGGTCTTGTGGCTGTTCCCAAGGAGGCAGATGTCGGAGCAGCCTCCCGGTTTGCCGAATTGATCTGGTTCGCAGGCATGGCTCCGCACTAGGACAACACAGATAGAGGTGGATTCAGGGGTGCATTTGACTGTTTCTGGAGGCAAGCAAAGCTGCACAAAGAAGGCCTTCCCAGCTGGTGTTACAAGCCCGTCAGAAGGCACAAGCTGGCAGGGGCACCAGCCTCAAACTGCGGAGATGCAGGAGAAATTTGCACGGCTGCCACTGGCTTGAGCCGCGATTCCCTGGGCTGAAGTGCCCCCCTCCAGGAGCCAGCAGCAAGGCGCTGCACAGGACAGACTAAGGCAGAGATAGGAAAGAACCTGCCCTAGACCCAAGACCATTCAGCGGCAGAGCCAGGAGCAGAAACCAGGGCTTCTACGTTGCAGCACGCTGCCATAAGGGCCAGGCTGTGCTGTCTTTGTCCTGCTACGTCGCCCCTTGCAAAGCTGGTGCCCTCCAGCTGGCTGCAGCCCTGCCCTGCAGCACTCCAAACGCAGCTCCCAGCGAGGACTCCCTGCTGGGCCGGCGCTGGGAGGCGGGGAGCCCCCGGCCCAGCCAGCCTCCTTAATCACGCTCTTTCCCCACTTGAAAATCTCCTGATTAGTTTTATATTCTGGAAAATGCCAAACAGACTGCAGACACTAAGAGGATTTAAATCATGCAAATTGATTAACTGCAAGGAAGGTGCTGGGGGGTGGAGCAGACAAAGGGGGTGGGGATGGGGCACAGCGCACTGAAGCCTTTAACTCTTTTGAAATCCCACTGGCATCCAGGGGCGAAAAGCCTCGGTCAAAGGATGGATGAGCCAGCAGTGGGGACAGAAAGAGCAGGCACCTTAAAAGGGAGCCATTAATATTTCAAGCTGCTGCATCTGCTCAGTTTTCCCTTTCCTCTCCTTAGTGAGACGTAATCAATCAATCACACGGTGCAGGCCACATGGCCCTGGGGGACAGCTGTCATTTTTATCTCGCAAAAAGAGACAGAGAGATAGCAGGGGGTAAGAGAAGGGGGGTGCACTGCTGGGTGTGTGGCAACCCATTAAAACATCAGCCCTGGTGCAGCTGCCTGCAGAAGAGGAATCACATGCAAACCCCCTCGTCGAGGAGGGATGACAGCGAGATGTCAGCTTGGGGAATCGTTACAGAGCACAGCAAGCTTGGCAGCGGACTCCTCTTTTCCCTGGGGAGCTCTGGGCAGCCAGATCTTGAGCTCCCCCGTCCCTGGTGCTTTTCAGCACGCCTGTCTGGTGTTTGGTACCATTTGCTCCTCTCCCTCCCCTGCAAGGCCATAAACCAGGGCAGCCGGAGGGCTGTGAAAGGATTCACCGGCAGCAGCCCAGCCAAAATTCACTGTGTCTCCGGGTCAGAGTCGGGTGCAGAGCCCCTGGGACGGGCTGCACCTCGTGGCAAAGGGAGAGAGCCACCTGCAACAAGCTCAGAGCCCCTCGGCTCTCGGGCAGAACGGCAGCTCCTCGGCAAGAGGGACAGGGTCCCGTGCATCACAACAGGTTGCGCTATTTTTGCACGGTAGTTCTTGCTGATTCTTTGCTCCCAGCCCTTTGGCCAGGCAAAGCCCTGAGGCAAAGGACACCCACTCCTGAGGGGGGTGGCGGGGGGGCTCTGCCTGCAGAAACAGCACAGTGTAAGACATGCAACTCTCAAGCAGGCAAATGCCAGGAGCAACACCTCGGGGCTCCCACCTGTGGGCTGTCGCCGCTGGTGGTAGATATGCAACGCTCCTCCCTTGTCCACCCTTGTCACCACTTGGTACTCCGTGCTGTTGAAACGGTTGACCCGGATGACACTGGTTTTCTGCTGGGCGTTGGCATTGTCAGAGTTGGTGGCATAGAGGTAGTTCTCAAAGACGGTGAGCCCGTAGAGGTGTTCAATCTGGAAGGCACCATGCAGACATCCGTGAGGAATTTAGGAGGAGACACGAGAACCCCAGCTCCAGTATGAAGCTGCTGCTTCCTGCCCTGTGGCTCTCCTCCCTCCCTTCCCTTAAGGCGAGGGATTGGCTTGGCAGACAGGTATTGCAGGACCCATCAGAGCTCAGCAGCTGGCACCTTTTCTTTGCTGGATCAGCTAAGCAAAGCATGTGAACAAGTGCCCTCAGCAGGCCAAGCTCAGACTGGTCTCCAGGACACTGCCATCAAGATCTTCCCTGGCCCGACCTCCCCTCTGGGCCCCACTCACCAGGATGCCCTGGATGATGGTATGTCTGTTCTTGCCTTCGTAGTCCACCACCTCAATATAGTCCAGGTATGCATCAGCCCAGTACACGAGCCGGTTCACCAAGTCCAAGGTGATGCCATGGGGGAAAACAATCTTGCTGTCCACCAGCTTGGTGCGGTTCTGCCCGTCCATGTCGCAGCGCTCCACCTTGGGGATCTGCCCGTAGTCCGTGAAGAACACTTTGCTGCGTGAGAATGGCAGACAGAGCCTGGATGTCATGTTGGAACCAGACTGAGGGGCACAGGGAGAATGCGTGACTGGGATCACACGCACGTACAAACTGTGCACACAGGCTTGCATGTGCACACACACTTGCACTCTCATTGGATCGTGCATAGACTCACATTCATCCACACATGGAAGCACGCCTGCATAAGCACATAGGCCATCTGCACCTGCACCTTTGCATTCACACACACACAGAGGTGCCGGAGTGCTCCAGCATGCACGTACACGTACAAGAACATTTACGAGCCGCTGCCTGGCTCAGAGGAAGCAGGAACAGTCATTGCGCGGCTGCAAGCAAAGTGCTGACTTGACAAGATCACTTCTTGTTGCGCTTATCAGCTGCTGCTGGCTGGACTTCGAATCGAGGTCGCAGGGACAGCGGGTTCCCCAGCCTGAGGCAGGTGGGCAGCTGCGTCCCCCAGCTGGGGCCAGCTCCGCGGAGCTGCTCACAGCCTTGTCCCCGAGGCTGCTCCAGCTGCGGCGCGGCCCAGCTGCGCCCAGGGCTGCCTGCCCCTGCCTGCACTCTCGGCGCAGGGCTGCCCAGCACGGCATCGGGGTGAGCTCGGAGAAGCTGCACACACCCCGGCAGCGATGCTGAACAAGGCAAGGGGTGTGCAAACAAAAGCTCAGACCAAGATTTGCTAGTGTCACCAGGAAGAGGTCTAAGGCCCTCCACCAACTGACATGTTCAAACCTAACCGGACCCGTCTAGGTGGATGTCGTGCAGGCCCGCGACCGCTCTGGCCGCGGCACCTCCTAGGCAAGGAGCAGTGCAGAGCCTGGCCTTGGCGCGCCTCGGCAAGCTCCTCGGAGCAGCACCAGAGCGACACCTGAGAAGCACGCTCAGATGACGACCAGCGGCCACGCTGTCGTGCTGTGTCTCAGCGGCAGAGCATAAGCAGCCGACAACGCGTTAACTCAGTCACCTGTGGCGATTAACACAACTGCCTTTTCTGCGCGAGGCCAGAGAGTCTATGTCCAGACTGCTACATGGTATTACTTATTTATAACAAAGTCTTTAGATTTTCTGCTCAATGACATCAGCTCTCCCCATCTGCGCACAGACGGACAACACTGTTGGGTTACACACAACCATGTGAACGCGCTGACAGACTCCCCGCCAGGCAGCTGGATTCCTCGCACACACGTGCACCCCGCGACTGGACCGCTCTCGCGCGAAGCACCTGGTGCAATTTCACACACCATTTTGTTTTCTGCCCCAAGCAACCTCATTCACTCCCACTCCTGTTTTTCAGCAGCTGCCACACACACCCGGAGCCACACTGATGATTCAGCATCACAGCTTCCCCATGCAAGAGATTTTGCAAAAGGCAGCTGCAGGAGTGCTGTTATCTGACCGCAGCACCCAGTATAAATAGACACAAGGGGAGCTGTTCAGTCCATGCAAAGATCCGACACGTCTGGGCTCCTGAAAGCCATTACAAAGCTCTAATCACTCAGCCTCAAGCTGGAAGTAGCAACTTGTCATTAGTCTGGTCAGCAGGCCCTTCCGCATCGGGGCATTGCTACAGACTGGAAAACCTGCTGCCTTGGGCGGGCAGGATGGGAAGCTGCTTCTCCGCCAGCAGCAGAGGTAAGGGCAACACATCTGCTGCCAGCCAGGGCAGTTAGTCAGAAGACCCAGGTTCGGGTTCTGATGTTCCCCGCTTGATTGCACGGGAGCTGGTCCCTCCTGCTTGCTCCACCAGCCAGCAGTGATGGTGCAGGCTCAGGCAGCAACGCGAGCCCTCCCACTGCCACCAGCAGCACCCTTACCCCATGGCTGGGTCCAGCGCTATCCCTTTGGGGTTATACAGCTCCAGGTCCAGCAGAGTGACGCAGGTGACGCCGTTCTTGTTGCAGACGAAGATCCTGTCATCGATGTCGTCGACGAAGTAGAAGTTGCCCGTGAGCCAGTCAATAGCCATCTGCTCCACATCTAGGCCACGGGAGAAGGGGGAGGAAGAGAGGTTAGTCAGGGAGGGAGCCAGGAAGCCCTGCACCGGGAGCTACGGCAGGCAGGCAGACACACGGCCACGCGAGATGAACGTGCTGAGTCTCTGACCACTTCCTAACACACCAGGGCATCGCAAACGCAAACGTGGCCAAGAAGTGGGGCCATGGAGAAATTGCAATCTGCAGTGCATGAGTGGCTGGGTCAGAGCACAGAGAAGTAGCCTAGCCCCGTTCACCCTGCGCGCTTGCGGCAAAGCCAGAGCAGATCCCTGGGGCTCACTGCTGCCAGCACGGCACCGCGCAGGCTGCCCCCCTGCCTTGCAGGGAAAGGGTCTGCTTCACCTGCAAGCCTTGGGTCAACACAATCTGTCCTGTCCTTTCCCTCCACCCTGGCTCTCTCCGAGTCCTGGGGCAGGTGCGAGGCAGCATCTGGCACGCAGCATTTAAGTATTTAATTAAACCAGTGAAAGCCTGGTAAGTCGGATAAGCACAACGTGCCCAAATTCCTTGCTTGTAAACAGGCCGGGGCTCCCCCTCCCCACCCGCAGCCCGACCTCGGGCCAAGGCAGAGCCACGGTCTTTGAACGCTCGCTGGGGGAGAAGCCAAGCGTTTGGGAGGCCAGCGTGCGTTTTGTGCCCACCGCGAGGACGGCCGAGGCACGGAGCCCGCCGCCACGCGGAGAGGGGCTCTGCCGAGGGTCTCGCGGTGGCGAGATCAGAGCAAGGGAGCAGCAGCCCCGCATGCTGAGGACCTCAGGACCCAGATGGCCGCGGGGCCAGGCGCCGCTGAATTATTAACCAGCGCGGGAGCTCGGGAGCATGCGGGGAGGGGAAGGATGAATCAAGCCAGGGCTTTTCGCAACATCCCAAACTCCTCCTGCTCGCAGGACTCAGCCCGATTTTATCATGACCTTCTGCACTTTAGCACCACGAAGCGCGGCCTAGCTTTTGACGAACACCTAACGCACGAAAACCCGGCGATCTTGCGGTGCCCTGTCAGAGCAGAAGTCCGAGCCCCCGAGCTACCCGGGCCGTCTCGCTCACCCACACCCCTCAGTTAAGCATTTCGGGTCAAGCCCGTTGCTTGCTGGCCATCACGCGTCCCAGGGGCCTCGGGCTGCAAGTTGATGACTAAGGGCTCTACCCCCCCGGAAAGGCGAGGCCGACGCTGTCTCGCAGCTATCGCCCAACATGATTTATCCCTTGTAAAAAACAAGTGGAAAGGGCTGGAGCCAAGGAATTAGCCTCAAACCAGCTAAGCTGAAGGCCTGCAGGGAGCACGTCGCCTGACACGCGAGAGGAGCGCCGCTGGGGTCGGGGCAGGAGTCAGGATGGCTGGTTTGCAGCGCCGGCTCTGCAAGGGTATCCACGCGCTGGCAAGCAACAGAAATCTTCAGGCCGCAAAAGTTGTCCCAGAGGCAGCAGGGTGACAGGACACCTATCCGCTCACCCCAGCTGCGAGACCTGCAGGGCTTGCGCCCCGCGCGCCCGGAGCCATCGCAAAGGCCTCTTCCTAAAGGCATCAACGCGCGCCTCCATTTGGCTGGAAAAGCGACGTAAGGACGGTCTCTGCAATGGTTCCCCGGCTTTCGAAACCCACCGGGCCCCAAACACGGCGGGAGAGGGGCAGAACACCGCGCCGGCCGCAGGGACCGCGAGGGGCCTTGAGAGGGGCCTGGGCGTCTCACCCGGGGGGGGGAGGACGCTGCCCACCC